TTTCAACTTTTGTTTATCCAAACAAGTTTAACACTAATCATTTCTTTCTATTCCCTTCTCCTCCCATTCCTCTCTCTCCCTTTCCTTTTCTTTTTCCTTTTTTTACTAATTTTTATCCAAACATATATTAGCCATTCAAGTGCCTAAAAGCTATAGCAAATTAAGGACCCTTTTTCTGCCAAAATGGGCACCCAAAAAAAAAAAAAAAAAACATTTCAAGTTGGGATTTTATAGAAAGAAAATGTGAAGTATATAGAACTTTAAATTCCTATTTTTGTTAAGAAGGGGAAGAAAGTACTTTCCATCAATTAAAAAAAAAATGCATCTATTGGGAGCACAATTGGATGCTCCAACCCATACATACCATTCCCACAAAAAATGCCACATAGTCTAGCAATGCAGCAGGAACAGAAAACAAGAAAATTAAATAATAATTAAAAGTTTCCATTGTCTATTTTAAATAATAATAATAATAATAATAAATGACCTCAAGAAACTATATTAAAGAGTTAAAGAGTTTAAGACTTCATATTAAATATCTTAAATTCAAATGTTAAAATAAATAAAAAAGTATTAAAAGGAAAGCGATTTCTATTTGATGAATAAAAAATAATAATAATTAAAAACAACTTAGGCCGTTTATAAGGAACGGGTAAGAGAATTGAGAATTTTCTTTCTTCATATATATGAGGCACAAGTTTCTGTTTTATCTAATACACATATATCAACCACCAATTAGCATATATGATCTCACTATACAACTACTCCCTACCTTCAAAATTAGTTGTTTAATTTTTTTTTCTGCATGATAAACAAACATTTTTTTATTAAGTGAAACTACTCTTTAATTATTATTATTATTATTATTATTTTTATAAAAACAATAATTAGAGATTAGTATGTTAGAGATATTAGTGAAGGATATTGAATCCGAAACTTGAAAGTGCAAACCACAAGCTGTCCCAAGTGACCACTGGACACGGTATGTGAAATGCTACTCTTCAATTATATTACGCATATGCTCTATAAAACAATTGCCTATAGTTGCTTACAAAAAACGTATAGAAAAAGTTACCAACAGTACAGAATCAGTCTACGGCCGAACTAAACTTACAGGAACAAATCAAATTTAAAACCTCATTAAGCTTCATTGACAACAACTCAAGATCTTTAAATTGTAGACATGTTTGAACTTTTCCAAGACCAGATTTCTTATCTTGCAAATTGTCAGTATAAATTTAACCACCCGTATGACGGTCCGATTGATTTACCAGGTGTATGTGTAGAAATATATTCAGCTAGCTGTCTATGTATCTTGACCTGGTATAAGAGCACATAATTCAGACCTAATTAGGGGTCTTTTTCTTTAAATTCATGTTGATTAAATCAATGAAATAGCTAAAAAATTTATGTTGACTGCCTCAAATTGCACATTAAGAGAGCAGTAGAATATCATTGTCCATTTCGTCATCAAATGACAAAATTATGAGGGTAAAACTAGAAAATTTGTTAGAGGATAAAAGCTTCATTTAATATTAAACAATTCAAATCTGAGCTTATAAATTTAGGGTTTCCGATTTTGTGAAGCCATAAACAAGTGCCAAAGCTGAGAGACTTGGGAGCATCCAGCTAGAATGGCTGCTCTTTGGTCTCTTCTAGTGTATGCCTTGGCATTCTCCTTCATTTTCAGCAATGTAGCTGCAGATGATCATGACCCTTACTATGCTTCTCCACCACCACCTCCTCCATATGTTTATGCATCTCCTCCGCCTCCTCCTTATGTCTACAAATCACCACCTCCACCTCCATACATTTATAAGTCCCCACCACCTCCCCCTTACATTTACAAGTCGCCTCCACCTCCTCCATATCTCTACAAATCACCACCTCCACCTCCATACATTTATAAGTCCCCACCACCTCCCCCTTACATTTACAAGTCGCCTCCACCTCCTCCATATATCTACAAATCACCACCGCCTCCTCCTTATGTTTACAGTTCACCCCCACCTCCTCCATATATGTACAAGTCACCCCCGCCTCCCCCTTATGTTTACAATTCACCCCCACCTCCTCCATATATGTACAAGTCACCCCCGCCTCCCCCTTATGTTTACAA